TTATTTATTCAGTACTGTGTTTCATTCTGTATAATCCACTGGAAAGTGCAACTTCAAGATTCAGTGTGGATTAAAAAACATTTGTGACCACAACCACAAAATCCACTCGTGATGTGAGTGTGTGCATTGGATGCACCTTCATACAGCGGGCAGTACCAGTGTTACCCACCTGGGGGAGGTGAAACCTTCAAGGAAATCTCAGGTAAAGGCAGGGCATCCTTACTTTCGGAGGGAACACTTTCAGGGGAAACAGTTTCAGGGACAACCGTTTCTGGGTGTGTGACAGATATACAATATAACTCTGGATGCAGCTGCTTGTAATAATCATTGTACCTCATAATAATCACAGTACCTCAGTGGCATACACTCACGTTCATTTTTTATTTCCTATAATCCAACTTCCATACAATTCTATAAACTGTTGCACACACGTAGATGTTTTGTTGTCAGTTACACTACTTTAAGGTTGGTTTGAATATCCAATCACAACCACAACACAACATATTTGTAAATATAAGGATTGATTTAGTTGTATCTTTTGAAGTAGAAGTAGTTTGAATATTTCATGATTTCCACTCAGTACTAACCATATGATACTTGTTACCATAAACATCTTCACAAAAAAAATTCAACATTATAATTCTACACTCTAAAGATGCTGCTGCTCCAAGGTCAAAGCCTAGAGCAGCAGAAGCCCAAAGGCATGCCAACACCTTGCTCACAGGGGACAAGAGAGAGCCAGCTGAATCAACACTCTGGGATCAGTCGACTGGACACGGGAATGTCATAGATGCTGGCGCTTGGTTGTTATGGCCCATCTCTCTGAGCTCAGCAGCCTTCACATTTACACTCTTACAAAGCTGAGTTTACACATTTGCACCAGTTTAACAAGGTGCCCTGTAGAATGTCTAAAAGTGCTGCTGCTTCAATGCAACCCTCTTTCATTGATTATTTAAATAGACAATATGGTGTAGTGTGTGTAGATAATTCCACTCACCTTCAGGTTGCCCATTTGGCACCTCATCTGAAAAAGAAAACAGTTATTATAACTTAAGTAGATGACAACAATTGTACCAAAATAATACAATGTATATGTACAACAGAAAATCCAGAGTATCAAACATTATGTAAATCACCACTATTTAAAAACAAATAACTTAACAAAAGTCTAATAATCATTAAAAATATACTGGGCAGATACAGTCTGTCTCAGTTTGACAATTTTCTTACTCTCTCTGTGCTTTCCAGCTACACACAGTCCTATCAAAAAGCCAAACAGGCTATAACATATATTGTGTACTTTGGGTTTTTTTCTGCTCAAAAGTTCAAAGTGCACCTCAGTGTAGTAGTTTACAACTTCTGAATATTGCTAAATATTGTCCCTGATGGCTTGAAACATGTGGTCAAAAAGGTCAGTTGCGCAATCATGTTTTCAAATCTCCCTAGTTAAGACATTACAGTCTTAACCATTTATTTTAATTAGACCTATTAATACTGTTTTCTCAAATATTTGCCAAGAAATGGAAGCCACCCGCATTTTTTTTTTCTGTCACTCACTTGCTCTAAATATGTAGCCATGTGTAATGATTGCAGTTGAACATTCCAAGTCCAATTTAGACACCTCCGCATCACTTAAAAACCATGTAACTGGCTGGTGGAGCGCAGTCCTGCTCGATCACATCATGCAGCTGAGAATGAGGCTTGCCTCTTCACTGTCTCATCATCATTTAGATAATGAGAGTGGGGAAAGGTTTTGTTTTACCGCTGTGCTCTCCCAGTGCAGCTGACAGGGTGCAGGTATTTTCAGCTGTTGGCTCCACTGGCGTGCAGACAGAGGGGCTCATACAGGCTATGATATGAGGCAAACTGCTGGCAAACTCCCTTTCCCTTTTATAGCTTTCTATTGTTTTTAACAGATGATTTTATATTAATAGATCTGTTTTCCTAATTTTTATTTTCTCATGCTAGTCTTTATTTGGGACTTTAATACTGTGGATGGCTGAGAATCCAGGAGATCATGTTGAAAGTTAGCTTTCAACTGTTGTTTACTGTATTCTTCTGATTTATGGGCATTCCTGCTATGTTACACCTCTCTAGGTATAACAGTAAATTTTGGGTGAAAACAAAAGCCCCTTCTGGCTGAATCACTAAATATAGTGCACAGATAAAAAAGATACAGAGGCCAGAAGGTCAGATTTCTGACAGGCGGATGGGTGACCTCTCAGTGATCCAGTGCGCGTTGCGCTGGGTGTGAGGGGTGGGGAGGTTGAGGATGGAGATGGCAGGAACAAGGGAAGAGGATTAGAAGTGCACTCATTCTGAACTATTCCCGGGACAAGAATCCCATCCCCAAGAGAGCCCTGAACGACTCAGCCTCTCTGTCATCTCTAGATGGGCCTTTTTAAAGGCTTGAGAGTGGGGTGACTAAAACAACAGAGGCCTCTTTCTCCTCAGCTGTTCAGACTCATTTAAAGAACAATATCTTTCTTCCTACATTTATTGGCAACTCTGCACTATCAGTTATTTATGGACTGTGTTTTACCAGACTGGCATCTGCTGCATCTTTATCCCACTGCATTGTCTCCAGGGATCAGATGTTTATGGCGATGGATGAGAACGGGAGGCTATGCTGTGCACATAGTGAATGATGCCAACTGGTACTGATGTCCACACTATTTTAGTACCCATTCTGTCAGTGTCAAATGTTAAAACAAAATTTGCCAGGATGTCTAAGGGTCAAATATATGCAATCTAAACCTCAAATGGTATTAGTCATGTCTGAGTTATACAAGTAATCTTTAGTGCCAATAACTGGTTGATAATGATGTTTCCCTTATCTCTAGATCTAGTCAAACTGCTTCTATCAGAAAAGATCAACAAATGTCACCACTTTATATTAACAACTGCCAATGCCAAAAGAGTTAAGCTAACACGACCCCTTGACAGACATGGACAGACAGGGGCAGATTAAACATGACAGTTGATGAACACTGTAAGACAATTCACTGACTGACGAGGTGAGTAGAGGTGGTGAGATGCATGTTAGGAGGTGTTTGAAGAAGCTGGTAATGGTGGTCTTGGGCTGGCTCTCTAACAAATCCACTCTGTGTTTTTGGCTTGTGATTAGAGAATGAAAGGCCAGTCACATGACCTTTATTATCGACCCTTATATAGTTTAACCTCAGGCCAGCTCATCCAGAGTGCCTGATCTGATCCTTCTGCACACGGCCAAGCCACTGCTGTCAACATTCTTCCCCTTGGCTCTACTATTGTCTATCCTTGGCATGACTAGCATACAAATCCGGTATCAAGCTCAATGTAACTATAGTATCAGTTCATAAATTTAAATTGTCTATTGTCTATTGCAGGCATCAGTAATACAACACCAAAGTCAAAGTCACTTTTGGAAAATCAGAGGACACGCCTACTACAGCCACTTCAAAATTATGATAAATATTCTACATACATAATAAAATAGGGACTGAGTTAGTTGAATCTAAAAGAGTGCATTTGTTTGATTTTCAGTCAGTACTAATCTCCTAATACTTGCTCTTTACTATTAAAAGTTCCCATACAGTTCTAAAATATAGGCAACACTGCACTGACATGATGCTGTTACTGCAAGGTCAAAGCCTAGAGCAGTGTAAGATAAATAGTTTAACTTATTTAGCCATAAGTAGTAAGTGTACCCATAGTAGGTTGCAATGTATGATCTGAACTAAAAGGGACTGAGGTTATGTGCCTACCCATGTTGACAGCACACTTACCTTTCTTTGTAGGTTCTGGCATCTTGAGTCCCTCTTGTCCCCGAAAAGGCACAGAGAAGAATCAGATGTTGTCAGAGCAGCTTCTCTCTTGAGACAATTAGACAAAGCTCAGTATCTTTCCGTCCTGGTGGCAGATGATGATGGTGGGACTGTTGCAGCAGCTCTTCTTGGATCCAGTGGATCTCAGAGATGTGGGATGGAGTCTGTAAATCTCTGGAGGAGGAGGAACAGAGACAGATCAAAAAGGACAGGCTTAAAGGCCTTATATACCGAGGTGCACGCTCCTCCTCTCTATACTGGAAATCAGGGGACCCTGAACATATTGCAGCATCAGTGCTGGATTTAGAGGCTTTAATAGAATCATTTAACGTAGAAAAATTTAAGACATTATTTTGAATAACAAAACAGATAAATATACAAGTTTATCTTGGTGTAATTTATGGTAAAATTATGACCTTGATAACTGAGATGTTCTCAGGTATGCTGTTTTGCTTAACAGGGGAGTTATAAAGATCTGCACGCTTTGTATTGTTCCTTATTGTGTTGTAGTGTTAGTATACAAGATTTGCATGCAATAAAACCACACAAAAATAATGCTTGAAATTAAAATGTATAAAATGTTGGGACATTTGAAACTTCAATAGCAAATAATTAAGCAGAATTTGGGACGAAGGTGCCACTGCCAATAGTAACACCTTTTGTTATTCATACAACACAATCTCCTCCTTTTTCCACCTGAAAAAGTAAAAAAGAAATACAAGTTTTATGTCATATAGCAAATCAATGACAAGTGTCAGATGCCTATTTAATCCAAGGGGAATGCTGTCCAACAACAGCAGGCTTTCAGTGCTGGCAAATAAATTGTGGAGACATGCCGATGCAGTAACTGTACTGCCTATAGTTAGAAAGCTATCATAAACTTTGACATTTCACTTGCAAATTTTAGTTTTTAAACATGAACTAATTACTAAATATTTTAGTTTTTGTTTTATTGCTACGACATAATGTATCTTATTTGCAGAGGTAAATAAGAGTTTAAGTTGTGAAAAGATGCAATTTTTTTTTTAACATAATACAAGCAAAGTCATCACACCAAAACTCCAGAATTCTAGTATGCAATCATTTACCAAATGTGGGTGCATCTACCAAGAAACTTCACATTAACCAAATTTTGGGCCAAACACAACAGGTAAGCCCACGTGTCATTATGTGTTGCAAAACGGCTATTAAATAACATTCTCTACTAAACACAAAATATCACCAGTTTTCTTCCATTTCAGTATTTTTACTTGTGAAGTGAGGTCCATGGTCTTTCTTGGTAACAGGCTACGACCATCATAGCTACAATGGCCCATTTATAACCTGGACAGGGCTCCAGCTGTAAATACGGGGATTAGGGAAGTATCGCGTGGGTCAGCTACAAAGAATACAAAACCATTTTGGAATTGACCGGTCCCGAGGAGATCACATCACACAGGAGCCTCAGCCATGAGCTCATGTTGGATAAGAGCCGGGGTCCACTGGAGCAGGCGGTACTGACCTCCTATGGCTGGAGATGGACACAACAAAGATACTCACATACATTTGCTTCTTACAATCAAGGTTAACAGTTTAAAATGTAATGTATACGTTTATGTTTTTGTAAGGGAATTTGTAGATGAGCAAGTATTAATTGTAATATAGAGAAGAGATTTTTTTGCTAAACTAGAGATAGATGCTAATGTACTTTTGTCATGATCTCGCCTTAAAATAGCTAACCTACATTATACAGTTTTGTTTTGTTTTTACCAATAGATCTACAAAGTTACTAATTTTTTTGTATGCTTCAACTGTGAGCCCACACATTATTTTAATAGATCCATGGCCCACACTTTGACCAAGCGAGATGCGCGAGGCGCCATTTAACTAACTACCATAGACTTCCATGTATTCAGTGTCATGGATCTGTGCCTGCAAACTAACTCCCCACCCCCATAGTTTGCATTGTATTTTCCAAGAAGAGCACCTAGAAGACGCCTACCGTCACCGTCTTGCTATTACTAGCGACATCGCTAGTCCTATCTCTATGTCCGTGGAACTAAAAAGGTAATTAAAACTATCTGACCCCAGTTTTAAAACAAATTTAAGGTAGCCTATAATACACATTTCACTGGGGCTTAAAGGTGCTCTACGTAACCTTTCTGGCGGAGGATCTGGCATGCCCTACACCTGTTTGTCTCCATCGCTTTGTCCAAAATCTTACACAGTCCAACATTATACTTAACTATTTTCATGGAGACATGCAGGTGATGAGCCCTAACCAAGTTACAGGTCAGCTCTGTTGAAAGGCGAACCCCACTCACAATAAGAGTTTTAATTTTTTTAGGAATGCAAAACACTACATCTAATAAATTCAATTTATATTAGTTTAATACTGTACTGTGAATCATCCCTGCCTAAGCAATCCATCAGTGAATCCAAACATGTTCATGAAGGCAAAAATGTAGTGGACTCTACCAGAAAAGTAACAGCACATATTTAATAACACTATGAAGTTGTTAATGGCCTCATTTTCACATGGTTCAAATAACTGCATAGTAAATGCACACAGAAAAAATGTGTTATTTATTTCTTTAACAGACACCAAGATAAGACAATAAAAAAAAACATGGAGCAGGGTCAGAACGGCCTGAGTCTGCTCTTCTGCAACAACAGCAGTGTGTCTTGGCTAAATCGATATGTGAGCTTCTTCTTCACCTTCAATATCTCTCCAGATCTGGCATAGTTTCTGAGTGCACGGGACATCTTCTGGTAAGTCATGGGTCTCTTGTTACCCTTTCTTTGACCCCACAGTGCAGCCACCTGGTCCTTGTTGGTGGATGAAAAGCGGAAAACCCCAATGCATGATGGGACCCATGAAACACAGTGGGCCATAGTAGGATCTTCCAAAAGCTCAAATAGAAAGTGAAACAGCCGCACCCTCTTACCTGTGAACAGAGGTAGCCTGTCTTTACTCACAATGAACAAAGAGGATTTATTGGAGAGTCACATCAAACTATAACAGTTCATGCTAATTGTTTCCTACCTTTCCCAGAAAATATCTTTTCAGATCAGGGTCAGTTTAATGGTAAGAATTACTGGGTAAACAACACTTATCAGCGAGATATGTAAAAAGAGACCACTGACTGATGCACTGCACGACTCTAGTCTTTTACTGTAAAGGGAAGGTCTCTTATTTGCTTTGTGGTTTTGTTTCCCTCAAGCTACAGGCAACAACAATATCTAGTGACCAGAAAAAGCAGAACTCACCACTCCCTGTTGCTCTGGCCTGGCATTTGTGTTGAGATGATTGTGTTGTTGATCCAAAGTTTGGCATTGACCCTGGTAATTTGCCCATTAGTTCTGCTGGACATATGTCATGAGGTGGCAGAGGCTGAAGATCCTGTGATGAGATGACAAAGACGGTTAAATTAAGTATAAATTGCCATAGTGTTGAAGGAGTTGGATTATATTTAAATGATAATAATTTTAAAGACTTACTGGTGACTCATAGTTGATCTGTTGCAGTTGATGAGAAAGTGAACCCATACACTGCTCATTTAAAGAAACAGGTGGTACAGACCACTGTACTAAAATAAACAACAAAAAATACTAAGGCATCTCTATAGATAATAACTAATAAAAGTTGTTTTTTCACATTTGTTCCTTTGTTATGCATGCAAACAAATGAATGTACTGTACTCTTGAAGGCTATACTTACAATATTCTGGACTATAGTTTTGGTAGCACTCTTCTAGAAAATCCACAATCACTTCCAAATCAGACTGAGAGTCCTGAAAAGGTACACAGCCAATTAGTTATTATTATCACAAAATAAATCCATTGGACATAGTCACAAACCATTATCATATAGTTCTTCCTCAGTGGTGCAGTCTAGGAGGTTAACTGAGTCTGAGTGACTGTTGAAAGCAGACATTTAATATACCCCATAAGGTCTGACTCCATAACACCCCACTTTGACTAAACAATGACCACCAACCCACAAAGCCAACAGGGGCCCGACTTTGCACCCCTGTCCTGACCACATCCTCCCCGCTGCTGCAGATAAGGCAAGTCTGGAGCGACCTGTCACTCTCTCAGGAAGAACTCACTTGCCGCCATATTTTTCCTCACAGGATATGTTCTAACTTGAGGCCATTTGGGTCTACCTCTTGTTGTATTTCATTCAACACTGACACTAGAAAATATTCTAAATTATTTCAAAATGCAGAAGTTTATTCAAATCAGATTTATTGATACAAATACATGGTTTCCATGCAAATATACAGCAAATTGATAAATATTATATGGCTCTATGGATAAATTAGGCATTATTTGCTTTTAGAAAATAGCATAATATTATACAAAATATACATTGAAGCAGCCAGAAGGTGAAAATTTCCTTGTCCAATAATAGGATTTTATTATATACATCTAAGTATGATTATCATTATCAATATAGTGTGGAGGCTAACTGTTTGCTTTTCTTTACATAACAAACTGTTTAAAATTGTTTAGTAATGGTGATCTTCAAGTTGTTTTTTTGTTATTGTGCCGCAGAACAATGCATGTTCAAAGGAACATGCAATATTGAAATATCACAACATCCCTTTGTAAGTAGGCAATGTGTTACAATGTGTTTTCACTGGAAAATGTTACATTCTGGACAATGATATCATTACTGAAAACATGTCTCTCAACTTTACTTGATAGGCTTTATAGATCACTGGTCTAACTCAAGCATTGCTCAAGACTTGATGCAGGAGTGCGTGGTGTAGCTTGGGCACAGGTCGTAGTCTTCAGACAGCAGATAGTGTCCATACCAGCTGTGGCATTCGCTTGGTGGGAAGTTGGTGTAGCCCTGGTCACCGTGGGTCTGCTGCTGTGGGCAGTGTTCCTCCTGTGCAGGCTGACGGGGCAGGGCCATGTTCACCTGTGAGGAGCCCAGGCGGTGCAGGATGTCCGGATTAAACTGGTATGTGAGTTTGCGGCGCACTTTGATGATCTCACCGGTCCGGCTATAGTTTCTGAGAGCTCGAGCCATCTTTTGATATGTCATGGTTTTACGGTTGCCTTTGCGCTGTCCCCAGCACTCTGCCAATTTCTCCTTGTTCTTTGAGATAAAGTGAAAAGTGCCACTGCCGCTGTCTGTCCACTGGATGGAGTCGCACATATTTGGGTCATTTAGAGCTTGGTGGAGGTATTCATACAATCTGAGCTTCTTCCGCCCTAAGAAAGAAACATTTAATTTAGCTTAGTTATTTTAGTTACATATTGAGCATATGACCCCCATAATAAGAATGCTGGTGCATTCTGTAGCTTTTCTGGTGACTTGATTATGTCCATGGAGATGCAATTACTTTGCCTGGAAGGTTCCATAGTATGGCCCATACGTATCTATCTTGTTTATATTTTTTTTCAGTTGCAGATATTTGCATTGCTAATAAAAATAACCTACAAATTCTTACTATGGTCCAGAAATCTGACCTGTAACTGATGACATCACCTGCTGGTGTCCATGGATATAGATGCGTTTACTGTCATACAGTTAACATTACAGTCTCCAGTGGAGTTTTCAGCAAAGACATAATTACATAGTGCACATTTAAATTTTGTAATGGTTAGTAGATCATCGGGTTACCTTTGCTGTTCTGTGGTGGTGGTGGGATTGTGTAGAAATGGGGGGGTTCTGGGGGTAGAGACTGGCTCAGTGGTACATCTGGAAGAGCTGGGGTCCACGACTGCTGCTGTAAGACAAAAAGACAAAGTTTTTGACAATGACATTGGATTGCCTGTGTTCTGTTTGTGGCTTTAGTTTCCTTACAGTTGTGTCACTCCAGTCATTAGCAGAGACCACGCCATCAGAGGGATGAGGGACCAGGTACCAGGGCTGTTGGACTGTGGTCAGTCTCTCATGGTAGGAATACTCTGAAATGACCAGATTTTCAGATTTATTCCAACATTTTTCTTTTTGTTATGCGATGAACCTCCATCAAATCTATCTATCTATCTATTTATCTAACTATCTAGAGTTTGTCTGTGTATCTATTTATTTATTTATCTATCCGTCATATAATATAGTGAATGATAGCTCTGTACATACCTGAATCATAGTAAGAATTATTTGAATGCTGTTGAATAACATCAATTGCATCCTGGAAGTTTTGGTTGAAGTCGCCATCTATGGAACTCTAAAACATACACAAATGGCCAATATTTAACAATATTCAACAGTTATATAAAGATAAAGAATAAACATAGATAAGGTTCTTGTTGGACTCACCATGTTATGTAGTTGTGCCCTCAAAGGACCACTTGTGCCCAAATTGGGCTGGGAATTTGTCAGGGTCATTTATATACAGTACCTGTTTACTGTTGGTAACGTCACCTTTTACATATACACTTCTCTTTTTTGAAAACATAGATCAGATACACATCTAGGTATCTTGCCACTCGCTGGAGATCACGATCTGCAAAAAACAAAGCTCTTTTATTGTGCACTTAACCGCGTAATAATACCACCATTGATTCCAAGTGACCCCAGGTTTTGCATGTTTCAGGTTATCATCTAATACTAGTCATTAGTGGTCTTTGGTAAAACAGTTTTCTGAAAATTTTGCATAGATTATTTTACATATCAATTATTGAAGGCTTTAAGGAGGGAAAGGATTTATCATTTTCTAAACCAAAATAAATAACCAAAATTCAATTGCTAGTAATTAATTTCTAATATTGGCAATAACCATTTTACAGTTATGCAATACTTATAATAATATCTGTTGTTTGTTTTTTTATGTTACATACCATTAGTTCTTTATATTATATATATATATATATATATATATATATATATATATATATATATATATATATATATATATATATTATATATATATATATATATATATATATAATATATATTTTTTTTTTTTTTTATAATATATTTTTATATTTATATATACAGACTGGTGTTGCTGTCCTGGTGCTGAAGTTGATCTCATAAAAACTTATTGAGCTCCAATCATCAGCTCAATAAAGGTTAATGGTTAATGGTGTGGTCATTACTGTTAACCTCATGCCCTGTCTTTTTTCAGAAAGCGTCCCCTGTACAAATAAACACAAGCTTTTTGAGAAGTAATTTTTATCTCGGACGTTCCGTTTTAAATATCAACCGACTCTTAGTCCTGAAGTTCCCCTTTTGTCCCGGTAAAGGCAATGACTGTCAGGGCTTAAGACTGAGTTAAAAACAAAGGCACAAACAGAACAGATCATGGCTGAGGCTCGAAGTGTGCATCTCTCTTTATTTAACTATAACTCTAAGTAAGATGGTTAAAACATCTGCCATTATGGGGCAGTGGCAGTGGAGTGAAAGTGTGGTGGTGTGTTTCCTGCTTGTGTAACACTGATAAAAACAAAGAACCACAATCCTGCTCCTTTCTCACTACTGCTGACTGACATCTAATCCATAAATTTAAGCTTAGACCCACAGCTGAACTTTTACATGGTTACTGGGTAAACTTAACTAGTAAATTATATTCTAATAAATAAGGAATGTACAATCCTGTTGGATACAAGAATTTATCAAAAGTGTCTGAGGTGACAAAACAGTGTGTCTCCTTTAATTAAACTTATTCAATTGCTTGTTTGGATTTCAGTATATTTGTATGTATGATTGTAGTGCTGCAAATAACAAGTTAAATGTTTTTACGTGCTGCTCTGGTTGTCCAAACAAACCAGCACTTTTGTTCCTCTTCTTAATTCAATAGCTGCATGCATGTGGGACAGGCCAGCTAACCACAGCACAGAATGCTTCTATTGTTCTCTGTTTACTGGCACTGAAAATCAAGAAGTGTTAAGTCATGGATGGATAATGACTATTACAGAGAATGCAGCATTAACCGCAAATCCAGATAACAAAACCATTATCATGCCAGATTACTTATATGTCCAGGAAAATTACTCCAAAAACTTGATTTTTATTTTTATTATGGAGTCCAATTATTTCATTTTATTATTAGTTGAGTGGAAGTAGTTCAGATTTATGTAACTATAAAATATCAGAAAGAAAGGGGCAAAAACAAAGGATTCATATTTTATAATATATTTATAAATATTTAATTTGAAACAGATTTTATTGAACTTTCAGAGGGGTTTTATTTTCTTAGGAAGGCCACAGCTCCATAGGCCATTACTCCTACAACTGCAACCAGGGCAGCACCTCCACACAGCAGTACAGGTACTTCTGTGAAAGTCTGTGTTTTGGCAGGTTTAGACTTTAAGTGTTCTCTCTGTGGTGATGGTGCTCGTACTGAATGTTTCTGTGACAACTCTGGATCGTCAACTGCAGTTTTCACTGTGGGATGACTCATTGGTGTGAGGATGGAGGGAGGATGAAGACCCAATGGTGTGGAGAGGAGCTCCTCAGGGTCCCCAGCTGAGGTGCAGTGGACAGGGGTTGAGCTGTTGGATGGAGGGTCCAACTGCAGAATAGGCAAAGGAGGCAATGCCATTGGGGGAACAACATGCATGAACTCTGCAGACTCTGTTTCAATGTGTGGCTCCTCTGCTGAAACTAAAAGCTCCTGAGTTTGTGGAGCCTGGATGTCTTCCTCCATCTCCACACTGAACTGGCTCAGTCCACTGATCACTGGCTCTTCTCCCCTGTGCTCTATCTCTGGCCCCTCTTCCTCCTCATCTGCAGCTGTGCCACTGTCACTGCTGCCCAGACTCTGAGTGTCTGCATCCTCTATTGTCGACCAGGAGGAGGCCAGCAAGCTCTCACTTTGCCATGGACCAGGCCTATCCATGTGTTTCATAGGCAGAGGAGTAAATGAGCTGATCTCTTCACCATCTCCACTGCCCCCCCTGGTCTCATTTGGGTGCTTCCCCTCCAGAATGAACTCTGCAGTACATAAAGTTACAGTTAGAGATATCATATGATCAGTTATATATTTTCCATGTACATGTTTATTTCACCCATAATAACAAAGAGTGTCTACTACATTTCACAATGAATTTATATATTTTTTAAAATAAAAGGAAACTGTTCTCAAAAAGGACAATGTACTTGCAGCTTCATGATACTGCACTGTATCCATGAATTGGGGAAAGATTTCAACAAACAGGCAAATCAAATTGTAAAACATAGCTTTCTATTGTTATGTGACTGTGATCCTATGACAGCACTAAGAGTGAGATTGGAAAAAGTTTTTCATGCCTAATAATAGTGCTGGCCTGCATATTTTACTATCTTTAGTAACTGCACATTCCCATCTGTTTAGAGCAGTGGAAGCTATTCAAGTTATATTACATGTGACTTGGGGAAGGGAAGGAGTGATATACGGAAAACTTGATTTCATCACATCAGAAAAAAAGAATCACATTACTAAACATGAAACATCTTAACTTTTTATTCATATGAATTTAGTTTACATATTAACATACATATAAATATGTTAATGTTAATCTTTAATCTTCTTTATTGTAATATTTATTATGGTCCTTTTAAATGTTTCTTATATTTAAATATTGTTCCATTCATTTGATTTGTTTATTATTTTTAATTTGAGATTTCTAGGCTTTATTTGACCATAGTGATTCATAACAAGCCCATGATATGCCTAATATGTTAATGTGAGGAGAAAGTGTGTTGTTTTAAACAGAATTATTTAAAGGTCAACCTGAATTTGTAAAGACAGCATACTTTGTAGCAGACTTTTTTAGCTCTAGGTCTAGGCTATTAAACATATACTACTGTACTGTGCTGTACTGTACCATTCTCAGGAAAGGGAATATGGTATAATGACAATCATCATTCATACCTGAGTCTTCAAAGTGGAGAGAAGATTTTTTGTTTGATCAAATGCAGAGAAAAAAAGCAATGTCAAGAAGAAGAGAGAAACAAAGAATATGAACACATGCAAACTGGTTGTGATCATTATATTCCAAAATGAACAAGTCGTGCCCGCTCCCTCTCTCTCCCTCCTTCTCTCCCTCCCTCCTCTTCCCTTTCTCGATCCCTGGCTCCTTCCCCCGCTTTTCAAAAGATCTGGTTCCATCTAGTGTCTGCGCCCAGTATCTTCCTTACATAAAGAAAAAACAACATGTTATCATGTAATATTTATACACTATGCCCTAACGTATTATAGTGTTGTCTTAATCTTGTACTAGTTTAGATTCTTTCACGGCTTTATGAAAGAGCGGTGTGGCACATCAGTGGTGGCACAGTGTGACCGGAAGTAAACATCACGTGATCTCACGAATCAGCTGATCCTCCGTAGACATCTTTACGAGTCACGACCCGACTGCTGCGATTAATTCATAGACGTCCCTTTGTATTTTAAGGTACCCAGACAATTGCTTTTGCTAAAATAGACATATATTTGCAGCAGCCTTTTGTCCCCTCGCGTTGTGACTCTCACTGACGTGTATCTCGGTGATTTTTCTTCATCTTGCCCTCACAGGCCCAACAGGATATTTGACAGCACCATGGCTCTTAGCGATGCCGACGTACAGAAGCAGGTAAATGCTCGCTTTAACCTCCAACTTTAATGGGACTGCTTCCTACTCTATGTGCAAAGCGAGTATTTTTGTTGATGGGGACGAAAATACACGCTTGATTCTCCGTTTTACGTTTAAACTGGAGGTAGACAAAAATGACATTGACATAGCAACATGCTAACAGTAAAAAAAAACCTAAAAAAAAAAAAACCCTGAATATTAGACATAGGGCATCAGAAAACCCTACTTTGACAATTTCCCATTTTTCCATGTGGCAAAACCGCGATTGTAAATATTCTTAATCGAAAATATGAAAATAGTCAAACTGTTTCAGTTGGATGGATCACATCACATGACGAGCACATGAATTAGCTCAAAGAGGAACTGGGGAGGAGAACGGGAAATATAACCTTAAATTCAATGAATGTAGCATAAAATTATCGTATCAGTTATATCACCTGTGCTCCTTAACATAAATGACCTAGTGGGAAAAGCAACTTATTTGCATTCAAAGCATTGTGAGAACATTGTAACTGCACAACATCCCAATTCAAAATTGTCCCCACGTCTTCTACTCTTCTGTTCATTTAGATTCATTTATGTTATTATTCATTTCTACAGATCAAGCACATGATGGCCTTCATTGAACAGGAGGCCAATGAGAAAGCAGAGGAGATTGATGCCAAGGTATAAAAAACAACTTAATTAAATGCATGTTATTATTATTGTTTTTGTTTTTTTTATATTCTAATTACTAATGACATTTGGCCTCATTTTAGTTTAGTACTGAACTGAACTTTATTTAAAATTTTGTGTTCTTAATATGTACTTGCAATATAATCTGGACAAGACTTGTATTTTAGGGAAAGAATATTTACCTTTTGAATTACTTATTTATTTTTAGGCTGAAGAAGAGTTCAACATTGAGAAAGGCCGACTGGTTCAAACTCAGCGGTTGAAGATAATGGAGTACTATGAAAAGAAAGAGAAGCAGATTGAGCAGCAAAAGAAAATGTGAGTCACAGTTTTAAAATATAAGAAAAACCAAAGAAAAACCCTAGAAGGTGACAAATGCATCTTTTTTCCCAGCCAAATGTCTAACCTCATGAATCAGGCTCGACTGAAGGTCCTGAAGGCTCGTGATGACATGATCTCAGTAAGCTGAATTTGTACAATAAAATTAGCAATTACATTATTCTATAAAACAACAATGCTTTTTTAAAAAAAAAATTAGGAAATGTTGAATGAAGCTCGTCAGAGGCTTGCAAATGTTGCAAAGGATCCAGCCAGGTATCCAGCTCTGATGGATGGCTTGCTTTTACAGGTTGGTTCAACCATTTAGTAAAGAGCTATTGTTATATATTATTAATAATGTTCTCGTATCATTACCGACACCACACATTTTTTCTATCAAAAGGGGTTGTATCAACTTCTGGAGCCAAAAGTAACAATCCGCTGCCGTAAGCAAGATGTACAGATGGTTCAAGTAAGTGTGTGTGTGTTTTTATAAACACCAATTTGAAAATGGTTCACTGAATAAATGTATAACTTTAACTCATTTTATAGGCATCAATCCAGAAGAATATTCCTATTTATAAAGCTGCTGTAAAAACAAATCTGGAAGTGCGCATTGATCAGGACAATTACCTCTCTCCAGATGTGTAAGAGAAACTGCTACAATTTGCACAATTGGGTTTTATATCATTTTACATTTGATTGACTTTTGGCATTTCTTTTAGTTCTGGGGGCATTGAGCTCTATAATGGTGATGGAAAGATCAAAGTTTCCAACACTTTGGAGAGCAGACTGGATCTCATGGCTCAGCAGGTATAATCTCAAATGAGAACATGTAATATTTTAATGAAGTTTGCTTTTAGTTTCTTTTCCTTTTTGATCTTAATGACAACTCATCATATTTGCATATTTAAAAAAAATATATATTTTCAGATGATGCCTGAAATCCGAGTGGCTCTTTTTGGTGCCAATCCAAATCGCAAATTCATGGATTGAGATCATCTGCTTTATTGTACAAGATCCATGTTTATTTTTTATTTTGTCATATCCATTTCTCATTTGTGGAATGATTTTAAGCTCAAAGGTGCATTGTGTTGTGTGATGTATTTCTGTATTTTTTTCTGTGCATTAAGGGACATGATTTTCATGTTACAGATGTAATCATGGTTGGTGCACAGTTGTAATGACTGGTTTACTTTGCTGCTCCTTGTGTAAACAGAGACCGTTTACACTATTCAGTCAGGGACAAGTTGTTAACAATTGGTTTAACAGTTGCTCTCTAATTGGATCTGTCTTAACAGCACACTGTTTTTCCGAAGTCAGTTTTGTTGATGGATATCCACTCCTACCAGTCACATGGCGAAAAAGTCTCTCCATAGTAACTAAAAACTATTCACATCCAAATAATGGTTAGGAGATGTTGCAGTGACTGCTTTATTTTCCTCCATGTTAAATGCATGGTCATTCCAGAGGGCACTATATGTATATGAAGATATGAACTTTCCAGAGTAAATTATATGTATGTGTGGTTGTGTTTTATTTTATCTTTTTGACGCTGTCTCAAGTTAAATGTTGTATGGAAATGTACACCATAATAAAACGGTAAATCATTATTACTTCTCTTGCTGTTTTTGTTGAGCATTTTGGCTCACTTTTCCCCTTACACTGGCCATTCATGCCCTATTCATTAGTTTATCACATGGTATTTGTCAGACAAAAATTCCCCAATTATGCAGTTACTCGCAGTACTTCGCTGACATGCTCAAGTGAAAGCACCGTGGAAAACAAGTGGAGATACTAGCAAGGCGATACAGAACGCTAAATATTATTTATTGGTGAGTATTTTGTCTTTAAATGTTGGAAAGCTTTTTGACTTCTGTCTGTATGAATGGGTTTGATAATCCAACATTCTGTTCTCCTTAGCTGTCATGGTTGTAACTGCAAACATCTTCTGTTCATTCTGAGATTCCATTCCGCTCAAGCTACAGTCTGTTCCGACTTTGTGAAAATTTATTTTAACAAATTAGTGGTGGGATTTGAAATGCTTAATGTACTGTTGATTAGTTTGGGTGATTTGTAATGTGTATCATTTTAAGTACTGTGGTTTCCTTAACTATTTTCGTATTTAACCCTTAGTCCCAGGACTTATTCATCCAATTGGCAATGTAGGTTATTTTACTTGTACACGGGTATTTTTAAAACAGTGAGGAGTACTCTATTTTCATTACATTAATAGGCTTTTCTTATAAGTATTTTTTGTATTCTTTCCCATTTTTAAAAGGGTAAATATTAATAGGAAATTATATTTATACCAGATGTACTCTTTAAAATGTGTAATCTTTGCAATTTGGTTAGCTTTGTTGAAGAGAGTCTAATTAAGTGTTTTTCTTTGTCTTTCTTAGAGTCTAAGACCATGATCAGTGCCACACCTTCCTGATCTACTGCAGGACATGTTTGCTTGGCAGAGGTGGGCTGTTGCTGCTTATGTGACCCTCCTGTGGTTTGTGAGGGTCAGCTTTGCGGTGCCAGACCCTGCTCAGAGGGACCAGCTGTTGCGTGATGAGGAATCTCGACAGACAGGGGGCAGGATGTCTCTGTCCATTGCTGAGCAAAAACTGAACTCACATTTGCATAAGTTGAAGCTAAAGGAGATGTCAGCAACAAAGTTTCCTCCTGCCATGCACTTCTTCAATGCAAAACCTCTCATTCAAAACAGCCCTGTTTACAAACTAATACAAAAGATGCCCAAAGGTGAGCTGGGTTCTGTTATATCTTGTATCCAAAGTATATTTTTAAAATGACATAGAAGCATTTATATTAATAAAAAATATTGTAACTAAAAGTCTGTTTTGGGCTGTGTGTTTATACAGGGGCTGCCCTCCACATTCACAGCACTTCAATGGTGAGCGTGGAGTGGCTGGTAAAGAACGTGACCTATAGGCCTCACTGCTACATCTGCTTCACTTGGGACAACTCTGTCCGCTTCCTTTTCTCTGACAAACAGCCTTTCCCCAGATGGGACTGTTTGTACTGGCAACTGCTGGAGGCACTCAGAGCCAAGATAGGAGAGCCAACAAGATTTGATGATAGGTGACAATCCATAGTTAAATTTTTTAAAATCTTATTTTTGGTTTAATTGCAATGGAAATTGCTGAAACCATCAAATAGCATTCAGTGCTTCATAATCCAAAAGCATATTGTTTGTGCTTATCACAAGGTCATATAAAAAGAGAAGGTCAAAGACATAAGACCTTAGACCTTCAGTAGCAAATCCCTGCATGGGTGTGTCCTGAAATAAATGTAACCAGGCACTGTGCATTGCAATTTATTATTATTTGTTACCTGCCTTATCATATAAAATGTGTTTTGTTTTCAGCTTAATGCAGCACCTCACACTGTTCACAGAGGATCCTGAAAGGGAGTACCCAAATCAGGATATAGTTTGGGAGAAATTTGAGAAAGCCTTCATTGCAGCTGCAGGATTAATTACTCATGCTCCTGTGCTAAGGGACTACATCTACAAAGGTTTAGAGGAGCTTTACTATGACAACATTATGTACCTGGAGCTGCGCAGTGGACTATCAAGGGTATGTGTTACCAGCAATTGTATCATAAGCACTATGCTTTTATTTCTTTTAATAAGGCCTGGGCATTATACTATTAAACATGTAGTACCAGTAGTTGCTGTCATGAGAGGTGTGGTAGTGGCAGCAGTTGTAATAGTAACAATATTTTATCAAAATGAACAGTGCTAGAAGTAGAACAAATTAGCACACATGAAGCTTTAGTAGTAACTGATGTATTTTCATTTTTTTTTTATTGTTACAGACATACGAGCTTGATGGCACCATCCACGACAAAGTGTGGACTCTTAAAATTTTTCAGGAGGTCACACAAAAGTTTGTGCAAGATCATACAGACTTTCTAGGAGCTCGTATAATAATTTCTGCTCACAGGTAAAAGCTTGGATTCTTACTTTCTTGATATGTAACAAAATTCTTTTTTTGCTGTAATCAAAATCAAATTAGTATAATTGAATATTTTGCTTTATTTAATTACCTCTTCACAAGTCAGGAAATGTATACAGACTATTCAAATCTGTTTTTGAGGTGCTCAGTCAAGCAAATGTCTCAAGAATTAACATTAAGTCAGAGATGATTAACTTCAAGACAAATCATAGACTGTGTGACTGGGCCTAAATGTTATAATTTAGATTACCGACCATTGTTTTCAGAGCTCTGGGAGTATCCGAGGTGAAAGCTGCTGTGAAAGAAGCTATTCAACTGCAGAAGAACTTTCCAGATGTGGTGGCTGGCTTTGACATAGTAAGATGTATACATTTTTTACATTCAAATCATTGTTTATTTTCTAGATAGATGTTTTTTTTATCATGTTGTTTCTGTAAAGGTTGGCAGAGAAGATGATGGGAGGACTCTCTGGTTTTTTAGAGAGGCACTTTCTTTGCCTGCACAACTTGGTGCTGCTCTTCCCTTTTTCTTCCATGCTGGAGAGACAGGTGCTGAATAAAAAATTATTTGTTATTATTATTAAAAGTAGTTGTGTGCAAAGTAAAGCTTGTGTGTCTTTTTTTTTTTTTTTTACAGATAATGAAGGATCAGATGTGGACCAAAACATTCTGGATGCCCTTTTGTTCAACACATCTCGCATTGGCCATGGCTATGCTATAGCTCATCATCCTCTGGCCAAAGAGCTATCCCGAAAAAGAAACATAGCTGTTGAATTATGTCCCATTTCTAACCAGGTGTGGACTGTTTATATGGCTCTTTATATTCAGTATGCAGTATTGATGTAGGAGAACCACTGACAAAATACTGTATATTATTTTTTTATATTATTATCTTATTTATTTTTGACAATTGGATCCTTACCTGTCTTAGGTGTTGAAGCTAGTTTCAGACCTGAGAAACCATCCTGCTGTTATGCTAATGTCAGAGGGGCACCCGCTGGTCATCAGCTCAGACGACCCCTCTCTGTTTGGAACATCAGGTCTTTCATATGACTTCTACCAAGTCTTTGTTGGGATTGGTGGACTCAAGGCAAACCTGGGCACTTTGAAGGAACTTGCTTCTAACTCAATAAGGTGTTTACTACTGTTATTTCTTTTTAAAATAAGTGCGTAAGATTAACTATTACATAATGTTGCTACTGTCACATTATAGGACAGAGTCACTGAAGTATACTTGTAGTTTTCACACTTGATCTTTTTTTTCACAGGTACAGCTCACTGCCCACTAATCTGAAATACAAACTCCATGACATGTGGCTGAAAAAATGGGACTCGTTTATTGCAAACAACAGTTGACTATAAGTGGCTGTTTGATGTATTGATGGATTGTGATGTATTGAAATGGTGGTATGACAATAAAACATTTTCTGATTAAATAAGGTATTTGTTTATTTATTTATTGAATTTGTTTATCAGTTTTGGCATGTTATCCTGATATAATCAAATGTGGCCATGCCTGACCTTTTGTTGATTTAATTTATTTAATTACAGCTTGAAATAAATGTAAGTCATTCCATATTCCAAACTTCTATAGAAGGAGCATCCATATTTTTCCAAAAAAGCCAGTAGTTCTCCTGGCCTGTAGGAGAGCCAAATTCAGTGTGTCTTTTTTATTTTTCATTGACAACTAAATCTTTGGAATATAAACCCAAAATAAAGAGAGCTGCCTGATCTTTCACACTAACTATAGTGGATATGGTTTGAATCACAGATTTCCAGTAGTTTTTAACTTTACAGCAGTCTCTCAAACAGTGGAACAAAGTACCCTTTGTACATTAATACAGATACTATCTGGAATGTCAGGGGTCTATTTATGTAATTTGATAGGAGTGACATAGATTTTCATTAATCATTTATATTGTAGCAACTGCATTGTCGTATTTCCCAATCACCAACTTCATTCTTCTCTGTGGTGTTTATAATCCATGCTTCCAGTCCATCCTTGCTTGATTCTTCTTCATATAACATTCAAGTCCTTTAAAACAGGGAGATCTGCTTCCTTCCATTAGGTTCACAGAAAATATTTTTAAGCTTTGATAACAAAGTGTTTCAATTGTAGAAACTTTAAAAGTTTCTTGGAATACAACATTTCTGACACATTTCATTAAACATCAGTAGTTCATTTACATACATATCGCCTGGCTGTATCATGCTGTATTACCCCATATGGGGGAAAAAGGGGTGTCCCCAACCTGCTTATGCTTTGTACCAAATATCAATAGTATTCTGCAAAAAAGAGTGTTGTTGGCAAGCTTTTTTAAGATCTTAGGTTCAGCAGAATATAAATATACTTTTATGGAAAGATGTGATTGTTGCCTATTGTTACCCAAGCTTGTGGTTTCTCTGTTGAGAAGTAAAACATTGCAAAACATAACTGAGAAGACTAATAACACCATTGGGTTAAATTGGGTAACTGTAAACCACCTGTTTCATAACATGTGTACAGCAGTCTCAGTCATAATCTTGCCTTCCTGCTCCAAATGAATCTTAGAAGCAGCTTATTTATCTGAAAAAAGATGGAAGAGGTACAGACTGAAAGAAATACAAAAACTTGTAATGTAAATGAAAATTTTAGTAATATTTATTTTCTGCCCAGTTACTGAAAATGGCATTGTCATCCACCTGTCTGATTTTTGCACCTAAGACATTAAGGGATCATAATTCAGTTTAACCACAATCCCAAAATCACAAGCAATTTTGACACCTAAATAAGTAAATCCCTCTTACCTTTAAGAATGGCGTTTGGACTAGAAGATTCAGTAGAAGTAAAATGGAAGATATTGTATTAATTGCAAAACCCAAAAATCTTCCAAAAATGTCAATGTGATTAATTTAATTCAGTAGACATGTAGTCAGAGTAGCTAAAAATAGGATCACATCATCCACATAAACAGATTTAGTCTATGTTCCCTACCACCTACCATGCTTAACATCATAGGAAAGTTACACAGATGAGTTAAATGCTTTCCTTGATTACTTAGTAATAAACTACCAAATGAAGATCAACATTTTATATTTTGTTTATAATAAAAACAGCAATATTTGATTTAAAATGGCTTAGTAACAGAAACAGGTTTGTTGACTTCCTTTTTCAAACTACAGCACTGATAAACCCCATCTCTTCATATTGGCATTTCACAAACACATTTCCATTTGCATGTTTTTATTGTTTTTGATAGTTACACATGCATGACTCAGAGTTCATTAAAAAAAAAAATTGCAAGTAAGTACAAAGCAGTTGGCAGGGATAGGGCATAGGTGAAAAAACACATTTTCTAACCACTCAAGCCTTGAATACAGGACAATTACTTAAACATGCATGAATCAAACCATCTTGCATAATATGTTATTTTTAAGGCTATGTCTCATTAAATGTCTCTGTATCCTGAATTTCCCCCTGTGGGAATCAGTTAATTATTTAGCGATCTACCTCCATCTAACCCTAAAGACGGTGGTGAAAGAAGTACTCAGTTTTGTTTGTACTTTTTTTTTTTTTTTTAAAAACAAGACACCAGAATATAAATACAAATAAACAAATAAAATAAAAAACATACTTAAATTAACTACTTACTTAAGTTAAAGTATTAAAGTACCTGTTTGAACATGTACTTAAAGTGTTAAAAGTAAAAGTATTTTAAGCTGATTTTGAGATCTAAAGATCTTCAACTGTAGTGATGCTAACATTTTGTATTTTTCGTATCTGATTTTTGTTTTACTCTAACTATAAACATGTTAAAAAGCCCTCATCCTTTTCACAAGATCTTAATAGATTAAAAAAACAAAAAAACAAACCACTTACTTTTGTGTAGTGCAATAGAAAGTACAGGTATCTGCTCTCAAATGTAGTGATGTAAAAGTAAAAAGTATCTACTTTAAATGTACTTGAGTAGAGTACAGATACCCAAGTAGAGTATTTTACTACTTTTACATTACATTCCACCGCCTATTGATAACATTTTGTATTCTCCAGTGCTGACGAGTGCACTGCTGAATGACTAGTTTGTAGCCATCTAAGCCCTGAGTAAGATCCAGACACCTCTTTGTCTCTCTGTTCTGGATTTCTCCTCCCTAAAAGGAAAATTAATGTACAGACTCATTGCCTATAATTACTTGATGCGCATACATTGTAAAGTTTATATTTACTTGTTTGAAGTCCCACAACATATGAAACATCTTGTCCTTGGCCATGTTGCAGTCATAAAGCCCAGGGTAGACTCCAGTGTTTGTGTCCACCAGGCAGCGATTGCTTCTGTACTTGTGGGACTGTATTATTCCGATGTATATTTCACCAGATATGTGGTAAAAGCAATTCTGAAGAGAAGAAATCAGTATTGTTAAAGCAATAGCAATTGTTAAAGCTTGATATAGTTGATATATAGTTGTATATGAAAGAATATAGACCTGACTTGTCCCTTTATGACATGGGTAAATGATGGGCTTATTTTCAGCAGCTGGGCCTTGATCAATGCATAGATCTGGTTTTAGATCATTTGAAATCTGTTAACCGCAGAATATGAAATACAGGAAGAATAAGTATCAAATCAGCACAGTGGTGTATAAAGTAGTAAGGCTACAGAAAGTATCCACAAAATAAATACTAACATTTGTTTTATTTTTCATTTTCAGCCTATTTTTACAGTAGCTAAAATTGGTATTACTGTGTACCATTTCATTTAGGGTGTTGCACTGAATTTACTGTGCGTAGACTTACTGAACCATAACCCAGAAGGTCCAGAGGGTCCAACATGGGATAAACATTATCAAGATACCACTTAAAAGGCTTGCAGTTCAGACTCTCTCTCAGTTTCTTCCTCTCAGAGACATCGCCAATGTCTATCCCATGGTTCTTTGGACAATAGAAAACATGACATAGTGAGATCATTCCCATGGTCATCGACTGTATTTTATAAAAAGCTCAGTTCACCTCAAAAGGCAAGTTCCATGCCATATTGACATTATGCTTATACTCATCCATCCACACTTCTGCCACTCTCAGAGCGTTGCGCTTCATTGTTACACTTAAGTTAGGAAGATATGGTTTCATTGCTCGTTCAATGTGAGCAATTTTAGAGCAAGGAATAACTTCTATGCTCCCTCCACATAACCAAACCTGTTACACAGCACATTTTATTGTCTATGATTCATTATCTCCATTGCTGACACATTTGAAATATCTCAGAAAATGCTCACCCGAATGCCCAACTCAACATTTTCGCCTCCATAAATTTTCATACCTCCATCTAGTGAGCCAATCTCTCCAAAAAATTTGCGGTCAGCTACAAGTATTCCCATGATGGACGGGCTCCTGTTAAAAAAAAACTCCTGGTTTAGTTTTACATGACTGTGTAACATTACTGTGTAAATAGGTAAAGTCTATCATACATAATATTATGAACAGATTTGCTTTTGTAAACTACTACCTGATCAATGTAAAAGTATTATGTAAATTACATGAAAGTGGGCGTACTTTCCTGGCTGGGATTCATCTTTCTGAGCGTACCACTCTGGTCTGAAAGGTTCATACTTGCACCACAGCGCCCAGTTAAATGCCTGAGCCATTGGAGAGTAGGGAGTTACAGTGAGGTCATCAAAGTTGACTTTATCAAACACTGGTGTCACTATCACAGTCCTATCCTCTTTAATGCGGGCTAGCAGTGGTTCTGCCCTATACACA